AACTTCCTGACAGTAAGAGCTATTCGACAGTGGAATTTGCTGCCAGGGAGCGTGGTGGAGTCTCCTTCTTTGGAGGTCTTTAAGCAGAGGCTTGACAATCATATGTCAGGTGTGCTCTGATAGTGTTTCCTGCTTGGCAGGGGGTTGGACTCGATGGCCCTTGTGGTCTCTTCCAACTCTATGATTCTCATTCAAAACATTCCAGGGTGATGTTCAGCAGTTCAATCAAATTATTCACACACTGCATAAATAATAAAATAAAATATACCAGTAATACCAGCAAATAAACATGGGGGTTTTATCTCACACATTCATCGTTAGAATTGACCCACTGACATAGTCCATTGACTAACTCAAGCCCATTGACTTCAATGGATCTTCTCTGAGTATTACTTAATTGGATACAACCCCTAACAATGATAAGCGGCAGACTGAAAACATAGAAGAGCCAAGTAAGACAGTTCCCACTAAGAAATCATTTAAAAATACCGGGATACTTCAAAGCTGCAACCATTCATTTTCTAGGCTGAGATTTATTAAATTTGTATAGCATCTGAAGACCACAGGGCAGTCCACAGCATAAAATTACAAAATGAGAATAAATAATATATAATAAAAGAAAAGCCAACCAATAGCCCCCACTCCTACAAACACCTTTAAAAGGCCATAGAATTTTTATCAGTCAAAGGCCTGGTTACAGAGAAACATTTTCGCCTGGTGCCTAAAGATATGTAATGAAGGCACCAGGCGAGCGTCCCTGGGGAGAGCATTCCACAAACAGGGAGCCACTGCAGAAAAGGCCTGCTCTTGTGTTGCCACCCTCCAGACCTTCAGTGGAGGAAGCACACAAAGAAGGACTACAAAGAAGATGATTGCGGGGTCCAGGTCGGACACAAGGGCTGGCTGATGGAGGAGGGCATGACACATGGACAAATTGCAGTACCAGTCCACCCCTAATGTCAAATTTACAGCTTTTAAATTGTTAGGAAATACCGGTACCTGTATAGCAGTACACTTCAAAGCAGTGGCTAAAAGAAAGAGTAAAACCAAATACTTAACAATACTAATTAGCTCTTTTAAAAAATAGCAAGCTGACATGGACTGTGCATAAGCATACACTGAAACAGAAATGAGCATGGGGTGGTTTTTTGTTTTTATTTGTGCTGAGCCTGGCTTCTCTGAACCTTCGCAATTTATTTGTCAAGTGTCCTTCCTGACAACTCAATACTGACTGCGTCGTCAATCTTGTACGCTTCAGAAGAGCTCTCCAGCTTCGCTTTCAAAAGCGCTACATGTACATTCAATCAGTGAAATATTATTTAGTTCCCTCATTCTTTAAAACAGGAAAATCAATGTTGCAAACCTGGTGAGAAGGGATTGTCACCTCACAACTGCTCACCCAATCACAGCTGTGTACAATTCGGTTCTGTTACAAACTGGTGGAACAAAATCTCTCTGAAATTTTGGGAAGAATGTGTGTTTCCAGAACAGCTGTACCATTGTGCCTGCGCTCAGAATATGTATAGTTGTAGACATTTATTTATTTAGCAGAATTTGCATACTGCTTAACTCTAAAGACCTCTGTGAAACTTGCATAAAATATAAAATGTACACTAAAATTATCAGTACAAGGCATAAGCTAAAAACAAGTTCAAGATTCATATTTATCTGATCCAGCAAGCCTTTGATTGTTCTTACAATTATTCCTCACTGCAGATTGAGCATCAGTCTCTTCTATGATATACAAATCTATGCTACTGAAGTAACAATTCACTTTGCACGTTTTGATAACCAGAACTACTGCCCCAAATATTGGGAACTGAATGTGCTCAGCATAGCATATTTTATTACAAGGGGCTGATTTTGAGGTTCATTTCCAGTTCTCATAACTGGACAACAACTTCAAGAGCCAGTGGTTATTTTATTCATGTTACTTTGCATTTTGTAATCATTTGGTGACTTAAAGCGATGGATTTTATCCTGCACAAGTCACAGAGCAATGAATAGGACTTCTAAAGGGGTATAATCGGCTGTGCCCAACCTCTAGGAAGTAATGGCTTTTCTAACTAAAATATCCCAACCTATCAGTTAAAGACCAAATGCTAAAAGCTCAAACACTGTTGTTTCCACCAGTTTTCCATGACGAAAATACAAAATGTTCCTTCTTTACAATAACTCATTTCCTCCTTGCACAGTCCAATTTGTCCATGCACAGATGGCACACAGCAGCAAATCCTGCAACTTTTCTTTCTCCGTCAATAAAAAATAGATTCCTTAAGCAACGCTTTCTTATAAGGCTAGGTCATGCTCTTCCGAAGGTCAGCAGCAAATTCTTCATTATCCAGTGAGCTGGCTGGAAGATTTTCCTTGACGCTCTTCTTTCACACTTATGCAAAATGTCACAACCTGAGGGTTTATTTCTTTGTTTAGAGTATTTTTATACTTTACCAGAACTACTTCTAAGGTGCTTTAGACAATTAAGTTATTAAAAGGCTGCAATTTTATACACATTTACCCCGGAGTTAGCTCCACTGAAAGCAATGGGATTTGTGTTGGCATAGATATGCATAGGAATGCGATGAATAACTGTTAACTCACATGGTGAAACGAAAACAACACACAACACACCAGAATGAATCTGTGCAACTGCCAAGGTTTTAAAAGGGTGGGAAAGTAAAGAGGAGGTTGCCTGGTGCCACAAACATGACTCAAGGTTAGCATTAGGTAAGCCTGTCTGGAGAGTTTTTCCAGCAACACAGTGCCACAACTGAAAAGGCTCTCTCATTGATAGGCCCCGTTCTATGTCAAATAAGCATGGGATGACTTTGCCTGGAAGTGCTGTGTCCATAGATTGCAGGAAAATACTGGGCAAGGTTTCGCCCAGTATCTTTTCTGTGTGATAGGCTCATGGGAAAAAGCTGTCCCATGAGCCCTTGCTGAAAAGGGGAGGGGAAAGCCTATATAAGGCTGCTTCCCCTGGAGCTTTGAGAGCTTCTTGCCCTCTCACCGTTGGGTTAGAGCCTTCACTGAGCAATTTTGGGTCACGGGTTGACAGGGCTGGAAATGAATTTTTCTCTCTCAACCCGATTGGCACTTGGCTGGGTATTTTTCCGCCTTTCCCTCAGTGAAACTGTGGCTTTCCTTCGTTAGGCATAAGAATGTTGTTTGTATGAGGGTGGAAATGGCATTAGTCAGGATCAACATAGTTTAGCAATATACCAATTTGAAATGGTAAGCCATGCCTTGAGCACTTGAGAATCGAGAGCATGTTTGCAAGAGCTGAGGGGAGTTTTACTTCAGTAACTTTTGGAGGACTCCAGCTTGCAAAAGAAGAAGAAGAAGAGTTTGGATTTGATATCCCGCCTTTCACTCCCCTTCAGGAGTCTCAAAGCAGCTAACATTCTCCTTCCCCTTCCTCCCCCACAACAAACACTCTGAGGTGAGTGGGGCTGAGAGACTTCAAAGAAGTGTGACTAGCCCAAGGTCACCCAGCAGCTGCATGTGGAGGAGCGGAGACGCGAACCCAGTTCCCCAGATTACGAGACTACCTTTCTTAACCACTACACCACACTGATTACCCTATTTTGGTATCCACTGCATTGAACTACAAACTTTTTAGATCTAGCCTGATCCACAAATATTATTTAGATCTCTATGGCCAAGACAGTAAAAGTTTCCTTCGGCACCAGTATAATCCCTTGATTATTCACCAAATAAGAGACTGCAGCTAGTCAAAAAGGTTATTTCAAGATACTTTGATGCTGAATCAAAGAATTAGGTGAAGGTCATGGGGAATATTGAGGAAAAGGGATGTTTAGAATTATATGTATTTACTTTAGATTTATAAGCTCCCATGTTGCACAAGTAGTCCTTAGTTATATTCACCAGGATGAACCCTGTGGGAGGTGAACCACTCTCAGCCCCATGTACAAGAGAGGGAGAACTGAAGCAAGGAAATCAGGAATTGTGTAAGTTGAGTACAGAGAGTTGATAGCTATATTGCTTGGGTATAGACTGGATACCCTTGCTTAGGGCTGGGCAATATATCAATATATCATCCAAAACTGGTTTGAAGTCCATATTGTGAGACTGGTTTCATAATTTTAGACCTGGCAATATATTGTGAATCATGATGTGTGTGTGAGCACTATGCAAAAATCACAATGTGGGGGAAAACTGCGAAGCCAGCCAATGCTTCCACATACCTCCATCCTTATTTCAGACACTGTGATATATTGGCATATCGCAATGTGTAGGTGGTGATATATCACAAAGTTGAAAACCGAATATCACCCAGCCCTATGTTTGATCTTATGAACTGGTATGTGAGTCCTTCCAAGGCTCAAACTAAACAACCGCTGCCACCAGTGAAACATAGCTATTGGAACGGATCAGATCCAGGATGCCAGGACAGTACTTTATGCACAGAGCATCACAGGGTTAGTGAAACTTTGCCACCCAGACATCAAACACAACTTAGGGGGTGTGATATAAAGCTTCTTGTTGGCTCAGTTGAGGATGGAGAAGTGGGGGAGGACTGGGGAAAACTCATCCAAGGGTCATCCCAAAGGCATTTCAAGCACCACACAGAACCATACATGAGAAATATTTGACAGCAACCTTCATAAGATGATTGCAACTGGCAAGCAAAACACGAAGGCTGGCTTCTCCCAGTTCCCAAGGACACAATGCTACTGAAGCCTTGGCTGAACAAGCTATTCCATGTGCTGTTGCAGCAAAGTATACCTACTTGATCAGAGTGCAAATAGTACAAACAACACTAAAATATTAGGGTCTTTTGTTTTCTAGAAACAACACGGCTTTTTTTTCTGGTAGTCTATTTTATAACAAAAACCATACTAAAGCAGATGGAAATCACTATAAAGGCCTAATCCTACAAAATTCTAGTTCTTCTGCTAGGAATGGAAAATTCTCGAAACTGATAAGCCTAGAAATAAGTACTTAATTGACGCTTTCTATATCAAACCACGAAATGCAAATTTCATTACATTGTCATTTATATGCCTGTAAATTGATACATTGTCATTTATATGCCTGTAAATTGGTACATTAATATGTTCTGAAAAACCTGCCGAATTACTCCGACTCTTCTAAGTAAGGCTGCAATCCGGGAAATTGGATGCAACCAGGTTCCCCCGTCAGCTGTAGAAGGCAATGTCCGGACATGCCAGCCATTTCATCGCTGATAATGAGAAGGCCTGGCTGCTCCTGCTGGATTCAATTTGGGATTGGTGGTTTCCATTATGGCTCTCATTAAGTCAGCAAAAGTGTTCAAAGTGCAGTAGCTCATATACAAAACATCTAATTGCACAAACCCTGGTTCCTTTACTTCCAAACGAATCCTCTGCTTTCCTCTCTTAAGATATTCTGTCCTCAAGCCACACACCACATATGCAAGTTTCAGAATAAGTAGGTAGGCTGAAGTGGCCACATTCCAGAAGCAACATAGCTCCTGTCTCTTTAAGAATGGTGAGGAACCCAGATATTCCAAAGGTGCAGCTTCTCCCATTTTTGTGCACTGGTGGGGAAACTTGTTGAACATCGCTCTGACTCCAATTTCTTAATAGGACCAAAGCGCTGTCCCTTTTGAGAGAAAAGCATTAAAGGCTCAAGTGGTTTATAGATCGTAACTTTGGACAAGTGTTTTCTGTCAAAGTTTTCATATGGTGAAAGTTTATTTATACCACATAATCATACATTCGGTTACTGGCTATTGAATCTCTAGTATTCAGAAGGAGATGACAGCTCCTCTCCCCCCAAAATCACAAAGCTCAGGTCATAATTTACACAAAAGCCCATTCTGAAATATTTCTGTTGTATCACTTCCTTTGTTTCTGTTATGTGCTCAGTGCCTAAAGGCAGAAACCAGAAGTTTAGTAAATGGCTATTTCTCTCTTTCCCTATCAATCTAAGCTCTAGGAGCCATATTGATTGTGGTTCTGATCCCTGATAATTACAGTTACACAAATTCTACACAGGTACGCAGCCAAGGATCTAATCTGCTGGGAAGCTCTCCAATACAAGCTTCACTGAAGTGAATGGGAGCGGTACACAAACGCCACTCATTGAACGGCACTCACATGCCTATAAGCACAGAAATTGAAACAGCAGTGGCATCTGCCATGACCTCACCATTTCTTTTGGTTTGAAAGAGTTTCCCCTATTCTTTTAAGATTGGCTAGAGGCAGGACAGCTAGCTGTTGAAAGAGTTAGCCATACAATGCGAACGCAGGCAGGAAGCTAAGAGGACGGCATGAAAGGCGTGTCTGAAAACACCGAGTTCATGGAATCGGATTCCGATTTCGTTCGGGGAGTTTTTAGGATACTTTCCGCAATGATGTTCTCACCAGGAAACATCCTTACTTTCCCATTCTGTCCCGGCTTTGGCTCCTTGACGGGCTCAAGGAACACCACCCTCTTGCCGCTGCTGGCTTTTTTCTCATCAGCTGGAAGGTCCAGGGGAGGATTCGAGGTCAATATGGAGGCATGTGGGTTACTTTGGCTTGGCTGCCTTTTTCTTCTCTTGGACCTGCACCGACAAGGGCACGGCGTCAGGTAGAGGTAAAGGAGGACCAAGATAATGCTGGCTACACAAGCGGCGAGGGTGGTGAAAGCCGTGTTGAAGGTTTCGTGAGAGTGAGACCGGTCCACGGTGAAATTGCTCACATTGATCCTCACCTCGATGGTCTCATTCAACAGTCTTTTCCTGTTTATTGCAATGCAGGAATAAAGTCCAGCATCCTCATACTGGACCTCGTCGATTTCCAGACTCCCATTGAGAAATACTCTGAAGTGTTCAATATCTTTGCTGGGCTCCAAAAACTGATTGTCTGGGCTGATCCAAACAAAGTGGGTGCCTGCATCGCTGATTTTAGTGTCGCAAGGTACGATCAACCTCTCCCCAAGTTGAGCTTCCTGAATAAAGCCAAACGCGTGGAAAGAGCCATTGATGGTGCTTTCCGAGCAATTCAAGTAGTTGTCGTGCAATAAGGGCAGTTTATTCATATTGGAGCCTGACCGCAACACACATGTGTACTCAGCCTTGAAATCCTCCACCGAGCTGAAGTGTCTAAGATACCAGAAGTTTAGCATGGAGTAAAGTGTGCAGTCACAGTAAAAGGGGTTCCCATGAAGATAGATCCCACTAAGATGTCTGGCCGGTACTAAGCTCATGTAGTGAATGGGTATCGACTGGATTTGGTTGTAAGAAATGTCTAATAGCACAAGTTCGGAAAGTTTACGTTTCCCAATGTACAAGTCAATCGGGAACTGGGAGAGAGAATTGTAACTCAAATAGAGCTTCTGCAATTTGTGTATCCCTCCAAAAGCAGCAGAATCGACATGGGCAATGTGATTGTTATACAACAACAAAATCTCCAGAACTCTCAGTTCCTGGAAGACAGGACTGCCAAGCGACCTCAAGCTGTTGGACGACAAGTCAAGGTACTTGATATTTGGAGTCGCCGAAAAGCTTCCTGCGGAGATACTCGTGATGCCGTTGTGGCTGACGATGAGGGTGGCCAGTTTATCAAGCAACACTGGCATCCAGTCGTGATCCAAAATCCCAATTCGGTTGTGACTGAGATCCAATCTTTTCGTGTGCTTGAAGAGCGTTGCGGGCACTCTCGAGAGGTTCTTGCCGGTGCAGCTCACGATGTCGCTGGCACAAATGCAAGCGGCAGGACACATTGCAGAGGCACTGCGGCATACACCTACGGCAATGACCAAGAGGCATATCAGTTTCTTGTAGTTCACGTGAAGAGCTGAAATTGTGCGCCAAACCGAAGACATGACTGTGTTTTAGCCGTCTCCCAGTGCTCCTTGCCACACTTTATACATGTAGTTAGCTTTGCGCCAGTCGCTGTTAAGAGAAAGAGAAAGAATATTAATCTCTACAAATCACCCAATGTCTCACAGTGGCATGGTTGTCACCAGAAAGCATTTCAGTGTTGTTCAGGGTGGGAGGGAAACAGGAGTCTGTGTAGCTATCATTTCCTTACATGAGTGAGCTATCCCATAGCTTTCCTGAACCAATTTTAGGGTATGGCACTAATTTTTATAAATCAAAATAGTTTCTAAACTTGATATCTGCCAGTTTACATTACTCTCCAGTTTGAGTGCCCATCTCTTTGCAAGGCCTAGCATTACACACCATGTCATTTCGTATTTCTCTTTCAAACTCTATGGGTTTCCTCAAATGCAGAGCTGGGCGCACATTGTCTCGAAGCTAAAAGCCTGGTGCCAAACATCTGACTGGGTCAATGTGCATTTTTTCCCCCAGCCACTGGTGCATGGATGAATCAAAACAACATCTTGAAAAGAAGTAAAACAGGTTACTAGGATAAATATTTTGTAAACAAACAATAGTGTGTACTACCACAGTATCTGATGCAACACATTGCTCTTTCCTGAGATCCTGTTATACCTTTTTTTTTTCTTCAGAGGATGGCCCCAAATAGACACAGATATGCACTTGATTGAACAGGAATAGTCAAGATGCCAAACATATGAAGGCTTATTCATATGCTCCTGAGAAGAATGTAATCTGTGAGTAGGGATGGAGAGAAATTCATTTCAGTTCCCATAGGAAGCTGAATTTATCAGATTTGCACTTTCTGTTCCTATATGAGAACAGAAACAGAGCCATACTTAAAAATTCACACCAATCTGAATTTTGTGATGCTGTTTCTCATTTTTTAAAAATGCAAGTATTAGGTGAATGTGTGCATAAAAAATGAATATTTGGCTAAAAATAACCAAGAACATGCATTAGGAGAAATTGCTTGCAAAATGTGTACATGAATGTGTGCACACAAAAATATATTCATTAGGAGAAAATGTCACTAAAATGCTGAATACTTTTCATGTTGAAGATTAAAATGAAAATTCGTAAATGTGGAGAACCAAATTTAAGACTGGGAAAAATGAGAAACGTAAAGAAACAGAATTGACAGATCGTTTTATCCCTACCTGTGGGCATATTTGAATTGGTTTCCTATATGGGTGACCTGGATGAAATCCTGGTATCTGAGCTGGCAATGTCAGCGTCCCAGGAGATCCAGTGTTAGAATTGCCCTAATGCCTACCCTGTGCAAGCAAGTTGAAATGATTCTACAGCTACATAAAGCCCAGTTCTTGTGGAAGTGGTTTTTGTAGGTTGAAATATACGATCATATTGCTGCCCTCCCTATGTAGTTAGTTTGCACATACAGTGGTACCTCGGGTTATATACGCTTCAGGTTACAGACTCCGCTAACCCAGAAATATTACCTCAGGTTAAGAACTTTGCTTCAGGATGAGAACAGAAATCATGCTCCGGAGGCACATGCTCCAGAGGAGGCCCTATTAGCTAAAGTGGTGCTTCAGGTCAAGAACAGTTTCAGGTTAAGAACGGACCTCCAGAACGAATTAAGTACTTAACCCGAGGTACCACTGTACTTGGCAGTTGTTTTGCTGCTATTGTCTGGTATTGTCTGCTTTATATTCTTTGGCAGTCTTTGTTTCATGGTATTAGGGTCACTTTGAGGGGAGAAGGGTGAAGGATGAGATCGGAATTAAAAACTACCTTTACAAGAGTGTTCCCTATTGCTTCAACAAGCAATGATAGCAAAAAGTGAATGATAATGTGAGTTTACAGTGTAAGAAAAAAAAATGTGTGTTCTTAGAAGGCTTGGGCTCCCTTAAATATGCCTGCACTGCTAAGTGACTTATTATTATGAAGCACCAACACAGAACAGCCTGGTTATTTCTTCTTCTTCTCCATTGCCTAGCAACTTGCATCATAAGCAAAAGATACCTCCTGATTAGGTAACACTGTTACTCTGCACCTTGTGGAAATTCTGAACCACACAGTATACATTTGCAAGTAGCATTCTTTTACTATAACAAACTAACTTCGAGTGCCAAAATCTTGCAGATTCATTTGTGCTGGATCTTTAGGGTTCCAATGATCAATTCCGGCATTATTGGTTTTTTGATTGAAGTTTCAGTCCACTTTTACAACTTAGCCTATATTTGTAGTGCCTAATAAAGGTTTGGTGATCATAAAACATCCATATATAAAATTCTAAAATGTATACAAATGAACAGCCATGTAAAAATATGTAATAACAAGTATTTTAATTGGGGTTTCTTCCCGCTAAATAGTGCCATTCACCACTCGAAGTTTCATTCTGTATCGTGTATCTAGTATGTTTCAGCTGTATTTATAATTCTCATGGGCTTATCCTCAAGATTATCCTGCGATATGGGTCACTACAGTTTCCACATCACAGATGGGTAGCAAAGTTCTTGTTTACCCATCACCACGAGTGGTACTCACTTGATAAAAAGACTGACTGTGCCATTCCCCCTATATTCACTGGCAAAAATGTGTTCACACAGGACTTCCACACCTCTAGAGGTCCTTCCTCACACAACCTCCCCCTTGTCTAACATGAAAGGAAGATATTCAGGTGAAGTCTCTGTGCAGTTGAAAACCACTGCAAAAACAAACAGGCACGCTATTGCATTCACGCAATCAATATCACATCAGTTTAGCCCAAAGACTGCAGATTCTCAAAAGGTCCTCAGAACCCAAAACAAGATTAAGAACATAATCCTTTCCCTCAAGTGGGACATGAGTGCAATATCCATCTCCTGCCCCAGACTGGTATTTAGGGGCATACAGCTGATGACCGCAGAGAGTTTATGAAAATAAGTCTAAAAAATGGCAGCAGCTGAAGCTCTGGTTTGGAAACTATTCTGTTCATAGTTTGCATGGCTTCCTCGTACCCCACTCACAAAAAGCTATGTTTGTAGTAAAAATCCAAGCCTCTCTCTCCATTTCAAGTATATTTGTTCAAATGATATTCTTTTAATGCTCATAACCTTGACACTAGAAGCCACAAGTACTGAAATGCTAGTGTTCTTGTGAATTGCTATTGCAGAATTTGAAATGTTGACTTTGTTAGCAAAATAAATAATCACAAATGTACTTATAATTAAAATGTTCATATCCAATAGAGCTTGGGGACGTTTTAAGAAAGGATCAAAATGCCAGTCTTACATTTGTACATTTTGCCCCAAACCCCAAAATTCTGTATTTTCCCCATTTTAAATCTTCTTCAAATGAAAATAATTAAATGTCAACAACAAGTATCTATGTTTCTCCATCTGTTTTGAATTTTCTACATGGGTAATAAAGAAAAATGTGTTTGGTCTAAATATAAGGGTGATTTCTTCTGTGCCCTAATATGAAATAAGTGGGAGAGAAAATAAAAGTTGGCAATTTTAGTTGTTAGACTCACAGAAAACGCACTAGATTTTATTGTTTTATCTTTTTGTAAACAGCTTTGAGGCTTTCTATAATCTAGCAGTGTATCAATGTTATGAAATAGGATAGAAAGGTCTTCTGCTAGGATACTCCCCTCCCCCAATAAAAAACATTTTTTTAGTTGTATTATAAATGAATCAGGAATATTATGGCTTGTTTTCACTGCATTGTTGGAGGGAACTAGATGACACAAATGTGCATCGGGAGTTGTTGTTTTTTTAAAAAAATATTATATGGATGCAAACCCATCTGCAGCAAACAGTTCTCTTATTATGGGACTTTTAGGATAAATACTGTAGGTGTTACAACCAAACAACATTTAATAATAGTAATAATAATAATAATAATCATGCCTGTCACTCAAACAATGGCTTCTTTATTACAAGAAATTGAAGGATTATTCACACCCACATCCACAGAGAGAGGGGTGGCACCGATTAAAGCCTAACATTGTAAAATTCAAAGAATATTTGGACTTGGTGTTCTAGTTAAATTAAATATAAGTAAAATAATATTTGAGCTTTTTTAATGCTGTGCAGTCATACCTCTTGTTAAGTTTGCTTCAGGTTAAACCTTTTCAGGTTGCGTCCCACAGCGACCCAGAAGTACCAGAAAGGGTTACTTCCAGGTTTCACCGCTTGCGCAGATGCTCAAAATGACGTCATGCGCATGCACAGAAGCGGCGAATCGCGACCCGCGCATGCTCAGATGCAGGTTGCGTTCTGCTCATGTTGCAAATGGGGCTGCGGAATGGACCCCGTTCGCAACCAGAGGTACCACTGTATAACCAGGAATGGGTGTGATCTTCCCCACAATGCTGATGCAAATGACACATTCACCTGGAGAGATGTGTCATGAGCCTCTTTTCTCTTTCTGGCACACTGGATTAGACAGATCTGGAAAAGGTTGGTACTGGATCATCCTGCTTTGTGGAAGAGTTGGGCAGCTCTATGGAGTTTCTTATCCCCTTTAAATATTCTACTTGTAACGCTGTTGGCTTTTGTTAAAAAAGGCACCCAAAATGATTATTCTGACTGTAAATTCTATGACAGAGGCCTGCTTTGTCCTACACTTGAGAGCCAGTGTGGTGTAGTGCTTAAGAGCGGTAGTCTCGTAATCTGGGGAACCGGGTTCGCGTCTCCGCTCCTCCACATGCAGCTGCTGGGTGACCTTGGGCCAGTCACACTTCTTTGAAGTCTCTCAGCCCCACTCACTTCACAGAGTGTTTGTTGTGGGGGAGGAAGGGAAAGGAGAATGTTAGCCGCTTTGAGACTCCTTAAAAGGAGTGAAAGGCGGGATATCAAATCCAAACTCTTCTTCTTCTTCTACTCCTATGTTAGGATATTAGTGTATTAACATGCCACTCTGAAATACTAATGGAGAGTACATAATACCTTTTGAGGTTGCCAGTAATCCAACTATGAAGCAGGACTTTCAGAACTTGGCATAACACTTCTGTAATTGCGCACCAAGTTAAGTTAAATTCGGCATCACAGAAACTCAACTTACGAACATACGGTAAACATCTCAAACACCTGTTTAAGATC